GATTAAGAAGCGGATATTGTCTAATTCCGTCCCATTTACATCGTATAGGTGTAAATGCAGATTCCTTATGTGAGTGAGGAGAAATTGGAACGTTAAACCACATCTTTTTTGAATGCAATAAATTTCCCGCTTTAGTAGATAAACTATATAAATCACTTATTGGCTTTTACAAAACATCCCCTCATAATTTTACCTCCGCTTTGCATACTCATCCAATTGTAGTTAATATTATAGGCGAATTCTTAGATAGTTGTGGAATTAATCTTTCACATTTTAAATGAAATTGTTATTAAATTTGTTCTTTGCAGGATCTTCCTTTTGCCCAACATTTTCTTCAACTCAACAGTCGGGGTATGGGATTTCCCAGGCTCGCTTTATAGCGATCCTCGTCTGTATGTCATCATCTATATAAACGCTCAACCGTAGGTAGTTAATTCTACCATCCGGCCGGATAGCCCTGGCAGCTGTGGCCATTAAACTAATATACTACTACTACTATAACCTTAACATGTCAAAATACTTGACACATAAATATACACTGCCCAAATATTCAAAAAAAATGTGTAAAGAGTGGTATTCATTTTTATTGGAACCAGCTGTACATTTCCCTTAGGCAAAAGACAAACAGTATTAATAGACAAATCTTAGACTGTGTTCCGTTTTAAAGTACAATAAGAAGCGGTTCCTGGAGCGCTATTATTATTATTATTCAAGTAATAGAAGCATTTTTAGAAAAGCAATCAAACGGTAAAAACGCTGCTGAGACCATAAAATCATAAAATAATAAATACAAGAAGAAGTGTCAAGTCAATGTTAAATTATGGAAACAGCGTGGCTGCCTGGGTAACTAATTTTCAGATATGGCGGCTGGGACATTTGACATGATTTGACATGACATAGACATGACAATTTCAATTTTATGAAATTTATTTCCGTTTCCGGTTTTTAATGGCGGGCTGTTCAGGAGGTTTAAATGAGGGTTAATATACTTTTTACTCTTTCTAGTAGTAAATAATACAACAAAATTACTCAAAAATATTTATTTGGAATTTAGAACAATGTAAATATGCAAATCAACACAATTAAAGAGCTATAAACCAATAAACTACTGTATCAATATTAAATATTTAAATAATATCAGAGATGCTGTGTTAAAGCGAATTAGTAAAGTAACAGTGCATTGACTTACAGAAACTTGAAGATAAATAAATGTTTTCACAGCTTCACGGATAAATAACTGGAAGCAGGAAAAAGGCAACCGGAACCCACACAAAACCTGAAATCAAAAAAAATATGTAAAAAACATAAATATAGGTACATAAAACTTTTGTGAATTAAATCAAACAGGACTTGAATGAAAATAAAATGAATCAAAAATATGATACATATACATCTAATACCTCATTTGTATTTTAAAAATAATCTACATACATAGATTTATAGCATTATTGCTATGAAAATACATAATAGGTACCTATGTGATATGTAATTACGCATTTCTCTTCATGTTGTAGAAAATTAATGTAGGCTAATAATAGTTCAATAATCATAATTTACCTTGTATAACTTGCTTTCAATTGCTCAAAATCACCGATCAGTCTTTAAAGTAGAGATACGGAAAAATCCTTGGCAAAGAATATCCCAAGATCCTTGGGTTTAAAGCTAAAAAAATATAAAAACAGTTAATATATTACCTATTTTTACATATATAATATGGCCCATACCTACTACACGCAGAAACGTCGATTTCATCATTTTCTTTATGTAATTAATATCATATATACTTTATTAAAGTGTTAACAAGGAACTTTATATCAAAAAACATCTTTGTACTTATAAATTTCAGCCGAAATATCATAAACAAACTTCCAATCAAATCTAAACGGCAAAAATTAAAATGGCGCTCGACCTTGCCAGAGGCCTCGGGAGTTGACACATCGCTGACACACAGACAAAAGAAGAGGACGCCGACGTGCATAAAAATGTTCCGCAACTGAAATTGGCAGAAATCATATAGAAATATTCAGATTTTTGTCTAGGACAGTCTAGAAGGCCATGCTTTCTGCCTGGGTAAGACCGCGCCAGAACTGTTTCCAATTTTCCGGTTTACTGTCACCCCCCTGCATAAAATAACAAACTAGGCAATATAACTATCAAAATGTTGATCAATAACACTTCTTCTTCTTTTACTTATCCTTCGATCTCTTAATTTTAAAGTTGCCTCTATGGACACTACAACCAAACCTAACCTAACCAACTAAAGCCCTCCATTGTTGCCTCTTGCCTCTGTAGGAGTTCTTGGGAGAAACTTCTTGGACTGCCAACTGTCTTTCCATCTTTTTGGAGGCCTTCCCGGCTGTCTCTTACCCATGGGTTTCCCTTCAAGAGCTATATGCTTGGTAGCCTGTTTTCTTCCATGCGTTTTACGTGTGCGAACCATTGTTTTTTCCTTTGCCTACCCCATCTCACTACGTCCAGTATTCCACATTGTTGACTGATATTTGTGTTTCCTAATTTTTTTCTCTTCTAGTCTTCCCCATTATGGTTCTTAGGTTCTTCATTTCAGCGAGTCTTAAATGCTTTTGGTCTTGTTTGTTTCCTCTCGGATTTCTATGCCATATGTCATTATTGACTGATGCAGGTCTTAGCTTTTTTCGTTTTCCTGTTATTACCGATTCTGAATCGTCCTAGAACTCTGCAGCGCATGCGCAAATGAAATAATGTCTTCATATTTCCTTCTGCGCATACGCATCACAATTCTAGGACGGTTCAGAATCGGTAATAACAGGAAAACGAAAAAAGCTCTTATAAATTTTTCTAACAACACTTTGCCGTTGAAACTACCTTATGATCGAAAAAAAACGGCGTTCAGTTGGCTCGGAAATGACGATGATGATCCATGACTTCACTGGGGAGTCGTTTCTTGTTCACTGAACATTTTTTTTTATTAGAATGGTCATAATGCAGACTGTATTAGATTGTATTTATTATATTTTTGCTAATATCTTTGGTTTGAAAATAGATATCAAGATGCAATTTTCACTAACTTTTTAAACTTTTATTCTAGTGATGGGAAAAACCGATTAATTTCAATAATCGAGTACTCGAGTATCAAGCGAATAACCGAGTGATCACTCGAGCGATATATCACTCGTATTTAAAAATACGGTTTTCACCCGTCGCATGTTGCAAGTACTCGTTAACGCCAAGCGTCAAGCTTGTAAGCAAGTTGCGTGCGCAGGGCACATATTCTTTCGGTAACGAACGGCAAGTAGTAAGCAGCGAGCGATTCGCTTGATTTAGTTTGATTTTTTTTGAACTGCTTTGAAACAATTGTGGCGATTTACTGTCCCGTAGATGAAAAACGTACATTCATCCGAAAAGCACATGTTGAAAAGAAGACGTGTACTAACCGATAAGAAACAAAAATGTAAACAAGTTTTTGGTAGGTAAAAAATTGTTTTTATTAATATCTTTTCTTCTTTTGGGGCAGTACTGCTAAATCCTTTTCATTTTGTCATTCAGTTTGGAAGTATTCTTATATTTTGTATGGCTTACTGTTCTTTGTATTATCGTAAGAGTATTTAGTATTGTGAAATGACGTGATGGTTTATTCTACTGCAGATAAAGTTAAGATAATTAAGACTTTCTTTAGTCATGACGGATGTGGCAATAGAACGGCACACAGTTATTTAATGACCGATATCCAGATAAACATGTCAATAGAAAGTACGTGCTGGAATTAGTAGCTAAATTTAGAGAAACTGGAAGTGTTCTCACAAAGAAGCGAGAACTTCCACCTGGTGTAGTTAACAATGAGGCGATGCAAATAGTAGTTCTAGGACAAATCCATGTCGAACCAAGAATGAGTGTTAGACGATTGGCAACAGCCACAGGAATAAGTAATAGTAGTGTTCACAGGATACTAAAGTTCCACAAATTCCATCCTTACAAACCTCATCTGGTCCAAGAATTGAACGAAGATGTTTACAACAGACGATTACAATTCTGTGAAGAACTAAGTGAAATGCTCATTGCCACTCCACGTCTTCTTTTCAACATGTGCTTTCGGATGAATGTATAATTTTTTCTCAATGGAACAGTAAATCACCACAATTCTCGCTGCTGGTCTGATACCAACCCTAGAGAATTCCGTGAGGTTCATGCTCAGTACCCTGAAAAAATTAATGTGTGGGCTGGAATCTTTGGCGACTGTCTAGTTAGCACGTTCTTTCTGGATGAAAATCTAAATGGAAATATGTATCTGGATCTTTTGGAAAATGCCATAAATCCCAGCATTACACAAATAATTGAGAATGAAGATCACTATGACGAAAATCAACTTGTGTTTCAACTCCATCTTGCTCCTCAACACTATGATGTACGTGTGCGGCAGTATCTTGATGACGGCAGTTTCACCGTTTTGTCTTCTTTACACCAGAAATGCCTTTAAATTGCCTTGTTTCGTTTGAACTGGGACACCCTGTAGAGTAGAAAAACGCTCTTTTAAACGAGCCCTAGTTCGTTGGATTCCGATTACCCAGTCCAGAGTTACTAACATTTAAATAATAGCAGATGTAAATTGTTTGATTAAATGACGCCATTGTTTATAGTATACCGTATCTCGGAAAATTTTTGAAAAAATTCCATTTTCTTATTTACCATAGCAGTTGCGCCCTTTACTCGCCATTCTACAAACTAGAAAATAAGTACCAGCAATTTTTCATATCCTCCTTAGTTATTAAGTACTTTTTCTACAGGCTCTATGGCTAATATTTTCCATGATATAGCCGAGAGCTATTCTTAGAAAAACACCCGGTACATAAAATAAGTACTGTAATTGTAATAAGTTTTAAAGTATTTTAATAAAATGAAAAGCTTTGTCCCAAAAAGTACAATATGTAAAGAAAAAAATATAACAGTTATTTCGACGAATATCTTATAAGTTCTCTAGGTTTACGTCTTTCTCTGAGCCTAAGGGTTCTAAGGGATGTACTTACGAATCTATAGGCCATCCTGCGTAGCTTGTCGTATTCCTCTTGACCCGCAGTGTCCGACAGTATGATGGTGTAGGGCTCGTAATTGATAGGAATGGTCATCGAATATTCATCGAATCTGTCCAAAACACACGAAATACACAAGATCAATTCCAGTTAAACGACTATTTCGATGATTTTTTGATAAAAAATGTTTCTATTATACAGTGGAAAAATGCTTTTTATTTATCTCTTAAAATCTCTTGTAAAACTCTCACTTTTTTGATAGACAAAAATTAGTATTTAATATAGTATGGTAGAAAAAAAAACATATTTGTTGAATAAAGTATTACTCGTTTTTATACTCACATAGTAGGTACATATCTGTCATCAAATTTTTTGTCTTTATAAACAATAAGTAGACAAGTCTTTCCGGTATCTCCATCCCCGACAACTGTTATTCTTATAATGTTGCTTGAACTCTCTGACTTCTTTTTTCGTGTGCTTCTTACAGACATCTTATCACCGCCCTCTTATTTAGTGACTTTTCTTCTCATTTAGCAGTAAATTTGATTCTGAAATGGAAAAAGGAGATACCTACGTATAAATAAATCGTTCGATCAAGGAAAAAAGGCGTCGCAGTAGCCTCTCAAATGACAATCGATGGTAATTATTGTCAGGTTGAACCCTATGTGTTGTTTAATAACACAATTATTAACACAAAATTGACATAAAAGCTTTTAAAACTATTCAGAAATGAATATTTAAATGAAAAAATTGGCGCCGGGAGGCACGTATAGCCCATACTAATATGTGTTAATAAAAAGTTGGTAGGCAGATCTTTCAGTTTCAAAGTAAAGGATTTTTTTCAATTTTTATCTCAAAACTTTCTTCCAAAAATTCCAAATTAAAAAAAAAAAATTACAAATTTTGTTGCAAATATTATTCCTAATCTTAAATTGAAAAACCGCGTTTCGCTAGCTACTCTAATTTTGAAGTTACGATTTTTTAAAATTTTTAACCCTCCCATACCCCCAAAACTATTTACCAAAAACTAATGGCCAGATTCCCGGGTGCCATAGTATTTTTGTGCCAAATTTGGTTAAAATCGGTTTAGCGGTATTTGAGTTATCGTGTTACAGATGACAGACGGACAGACAGACAGACACCATGAAAATATTTTATTTAGGTCATTTATGAATCATTACAGTTGAGGGTTGGAAACCTTGGTTATCAGCAAAATAAAACATTAATTTTTTTTTTTTTTTTTTACACTGGACGCGCGTTTATAAACTGAAAAATTCAGTTTATAATCATCTGCTGATGCTAACATGGTTAGCGAAACGCGCGTCCAGTGTAAAAGTAAAAGTGTTTTGGTGTATTGTGGTGATTTAGTGTTTTATTTTGCCATTTATGAATCATTTATGAAAATCTATACGATCGAAAAAACAAGCGTCAAAGCGACATGTAAAATTAAATGGGGGATGTCATTGATGTTCATTTCAAAACCAACTCTGACGCCGATCATTGTTTAATCAAAAATAAAAAAATTAGTTAAAATAATTTTTTGAAAATAGATTTATCTCTAGACACTTTTTTTCCTTTTTTCTAAATTAAATATTTTTATCAAATTTTGACAAATTATTATTACCTTAACTTTAAATGATTAATGTGTAAACCCAAAAAATATTACCGATTTCTATTTCAAAAGCCACTATGACGGAGTTTTTCTTCGATTAATGGTTCACAGAAAAACATCCGAAATTCTTACATGAAATCTAGGCTTTATTTTTAATTTATCAACTTTGACAAGCTAATAAATGTCTACATCGATTTGCTTTGCTAAATTTTAATCACACTGAGTTCATCAAAACACACAAGTAATATCTCAGAAAATCACGGATGTAGAAAATTACTAAAATTAATATTATCGAATAAATTTTTAGGGGAGTTCATACAGAGTTAGTCTTAAATAAGTGCAAATATACACGCTTTCTTGTAAATTAGGCGTTTAGATGTAATCTATATATGTGAGTTCGTGTAGAAAATTAGTCAGAAAATGTAATTTATATTGCTACAAATTTGTAAATTTATAAGTAATAATCATGAATGGCGGCTCGTGGCCCTTTGTAAATTTGAGTCAAAGCAATAACCCCATGTAGGATATTAATAGAAAATAAAACCTCAAAAGATGTGAAGAATTTTTACTAGATGTAGGTATATTGAAAGTGAAATTTTGCTTAACCTACTGCACTCGGAGAGTTGTCACTGATGAAAACTTCACAAGACTTCACTTCTTCACAGAAGCTAGAAATAGTTTTTAAAAAGTGGCTCGGCTCCTATAACTTGTAATTTTTAAGAAAAAAAACGAGATTTGGGACAGGCAGCATATAATCCAGATTGGGATTGGATGTATTCAATTAGTTCTCGGTCACTTCCACCGCAAATGAATGATACACTTTTGATTTTTAGATGGGGCTCGGTATTTTTTTTCTTTATTGATATAAAATGACATTCTCAATAAATGACATATCATACGTTAACTTTTGACATTTTTTTTTAAATAGAAAAAATTGTATTGTATCTAGAATGTCATGGCTGTGTTAAACACACTAATTTTTGATCAAAGAGCCTTGAAATAGATTTGATCGTTTAATGTTTTTCGTGCCTTTTTCGGACCAAATGGTATTTTTTAATCGTAACTCATTTTTTTTCAAATGAAACGAGAGTGGCTCATTAGCATGTTTGGAAAAGTACTTTTTACGAATAATTTATTAGTACGTAGTGTTTCTAGTTAAATTGTTGTTATATTTACTATCCAACAAGAAAATGTCAATACGTCTAGTGCTGACATGACATTTATTTATTGACCTGCAAAAATGTCAAAAGTTGACATATGCTATGTCATTCTATTTAAAGTGTCATTATTTATAAAAAAGTAAAAAATATCGAAGGCACCGCCTAAAAATCAAATATTTTAGCCATCATTTTGTAAAAAGGAAGGAACGACTAACTGAATACGCATCATTCCTTGTTACATACTAACATACTAAATTTCGTTTTTATCTAAAAAATAAAAAACTTATGAGGGAAGCCACTTGAAAAACTGACGGTATAGATGACCTGTGAAGGTAATATTATTTTCTTATCATTTAGAAATGTTGTTTGATCTAATTTATATGAAAATATTTTACGATATTCTATGTAGACTTTTCAATGCTTAAAAAAAGGTCAAACAATATTTGTATAGAAAAATGTGTACAATAGTTCTAATTTTTAAGAACTAATATTATATCTGTAAAAGATCATAAAGAATTTTATCTTTATTCGAAAACTCGATAAGACTATCTTCACGCGTAATTTTAGAAAATGACTAAAAAATTATATTAAAATACACATATTTTTTGTCTGAGTATAAAATATCATACTAAAATTGAAAACGTGACAATGAATATATGTATACCATACATCTCACATAATACTGGGTACAGGGTATCCCACAACTCTCATACCAGAGGTTTCCTATTTGAGGTAACATACAAAGTTTCCTTCTTTAGTCTAAGGAGGAGTCAAATTCTCAAACTCTAGTCTTTTTTATAACATATGCGGAAAATACAGGGTGGTTCCTAAATAAGTTCAAATATTTTCAGGGCTGGTAGATATCAATAAAAGAAACATATATTTTCTTTACCTTCTTTCAAACAAGTCCAAAAGAACTGTGTTATTTTACTTTGAAAATTTAAAAAAATATTATATTTTGCTTAAATTTTGAGACTTACTGTATTTTGACTGGGTTCTCGTTCTTCTGAATTTAATCTACTATCTATGTTGCCATATTATCAAAATATTATGTTTTTTACTCAAACATTTTAAAAAATCCATAATTTTTTTTGAAAAATATATTTTCAAAAAAAAATTCGCGTTAATAAGCTCATAGACGTGTTTCTGGTGTCGAAATATACCACCTCTAAAAATATTTGCACTTATTTAAGACACACCCTGTATAGTAGGGCACAGTTTAAAACTATTTTCATAGATACACAGGTGGTGATTAAAGAGGTGGTTTACTAAATAAAATATTGTCAAGAAAAATGGCGCATCCGCCAGAAATTAAAAATATATTACTGGTTGCCTGCACAACCGCAACATATCCGCCAGAAATTAAAAGACTTTTTCAGGCGCCATCTTTTAGTCAAGTCGAGAAGTAAGGGAATCAGACAATAGAATTGTCTGGTATGAAGAAGTACGCTTTCCGAGAATTGGGGAAATTTCGAGAAGCAGTCAATAGAGTATATAAGCCGGAGCCATCGACAACTGAGATAGTTTTTGAAATTTGAATATACCGAGTGGAAATTGAAAATCGGACAATTTGGTGAAGGAATCTTATAAATAGTTAGTTTGTTGTGTGTTATAAGTTAGTAATTGTGTATAAAAGTGAGAAAATAAACGTTAAGTATTTTATCGTGAGTTTAACCCACGTGAAGTGGACCCACGGAATCCGTAACAATTGGTGTCGGAAGTGATTCAAGAGGATTTTAAGAAATTAAGTGGATTGGAAGATTTTAGACCGAATTAGAGTATTTTATGGTTGGTACAAGGGAACAAGAGAAGAAAATGGAGGAACTATTTGAGAACATTTTCGAAGATCTAAAAATTCAACGACAACAAGACAAACAAGAACAGGACCGGCTTGAGAAAATGTTAGGTAATTTGGAAATTCATTTCGAGGAGCGACATCGTAGAGAAAAAACAAGAAGAACAGGACCGGCTTGAGAAAATTCTGGAAGATTGGAAAATTCAACGACAACAAGACAAACAAGAAGAACAGGACCGGCTTGAGAAAATTTTGAAGATTTAAAAATTCAGCGACAACAAGACAAACAAGAAGAGCAGGACCGTATTCAACAGAGTATCGAAAATTCGAAACGAAGACAAGAGACCCACTTCCAAGAAGTCGTAGAAGATCTGGATGAACGCCTTCAGCAGAAAATGGAAAAAATTAGAGATGGACCTACAGAAGACCAAGGTACAAGTAAGGACACCTGGCGTTTCTGGAACTGCGAACCTCAAGGCACCGACCTACGATGGACAAACCACCTGGACGATGTACCACCGCCAGTTTGAAGCAGCGGCTGCTGCCAATGGATGGACTGACCAAGAGAAAGCAGCAGCACTTGTCATCGCGCTGCGCGGCCCTGCTCTGGAACTGTTGCAAACTATTCCTGCAGCCCAACAGCAGGAATACGAAACATTGGTTGCTGCACTGGACAGAAGATATGGCGACCAACATCGACGTCAACTTTACCAGGCCCAAATCAAGACACGCCTGCAGAGGTCCGGAGAGAGTCTGCAGGAATTTGAAGCAGACTTACGTCGGCTGGTACACCTGGCATATCCAGAAGCACCGGAAGGATTTAGGAAGGAACTCGCTGCTCAGTGCTTTTATCAGCGGACTGAGGCACAACGAATTACAGAGGGCGCTGCAAATATCCCGATTTTCTACCAGCAGCGAAGCACTGGTCAGGGCGCTGGAAATCGAAGCTGCTTTTAGCGCCATCCCTTGACCGAAGATAAGATCGGTAACGGTCGAGGAACAGCCCGAAAGCACT